ATATTATCACTTTTGTACCCGTTTTATCCCATTCAAACTCTACATTATGAAGCAAGATGACCATAATATGTGATTTTAGCTTGTATATATCAGTTTGTGGTGCATCGAAAACTGTATTTTTTACACAAAGAGTACAAACTAGAGCACATTTCACGGAATCTAGATGACTATGTTGAATTTAGCACCATAAAGGTAAGAAAAAATCATAGTTGAGGGGGTATATGTAATTATCCAAACGAGAGGGGATTTTTTGTAATTTGACCATACCTCAGGGGGGTGTTTGTAATTTACCCTAATTCTTTGTTACAAAAGTTGACCAGTTGACAAAAATGATAGTACATATATAATTGGTATTTAACCATAAAAAAATAAGAAGAACATTCAATGAAGTCCAGGTTTCCAATATTTTTCTTGGTTCTCGTGATTTTCTTACCAAGTTGCCAAAGAAATATCAAGAAAATATATTTAACTTCATTCTTTTTCTCGATCTCTCTCTTCTTTTTGAAGACACATCGCAGAGAAAAAAAAAACTATTTCGTTCATCATCCCTAATTAGTTCTTTTTTGATAGAGGTTGGAGTATTATAATTTCATTAGTAACTGTCCGTTCTTCTGTCAATATATATATATATATATATATATATATATATATTGACATGTTGCTCTGGATTGGGGTCTATTCCGTAATTCATGAAAGTTTAGTTTTGGCAAACTATATATTTTTTTCATTTTATTTATGTATAGATATAGATCTTACAGTTATAATTAATTTACTATTAATTGATCTAGGAGATTCATAAGATAATTCATTAAGTATAATAACTATTAAATCAATTACTAGTCGATGAGTTATGCCAATAAATTCCTAGCACGTAGTCTATGTGAGTTGAATCTGATCAGCTACGATTTAGAGACATTGACATACTTAAGTTGATGCTCATAGTCGATGAGTTCACTGAACTCCCTCGTCTTGAATCTCTAAGTGATTCTCAGTAACTTAGTACTGTTCTACTGTTATAACTGTACACCATTAATCCTTAGGGTCTAATACATCCTGGGACTTTATTAAAGGACGTCCAACTATGCTGTGACATGTCCTTGAGTTTTACTGAAAACTGCTCAAATGGCCAATACTCGCATAGTCTGAAATCTAGTGGGAGTCTGTGTATTGTAGTTAGAGATGACTGCTTGCTTAATTGCATGGTTGTTTAGTGCCTTCATCCAGTATATAGTTCAAGAATTATTTGGCCGAAGTAGAAAGTGAGGTGACTAGAGAAAAGGGTTTCTCTAAATCTCACAAAATGGACATTATAGTTTAGAATGTTCACACAATTATCAAACAATATTAGAGGTCTTGATAGAACAATACCTCTAGTTCGACCGGGGCATACATGTATGTCAAATGGACCGTATTGTATGTCAACTATAATGTAAGGTTCTTGCATACACTTCATTTGTATCTAGAAAATCATGACACATAATTGCTAGAAGTTAATCATAATTCGTTGGGCGTTAACTGATATGATCGACTATGAAGACTAACAATATGTTTTAATCAAAATTGGTCACTTGGGACAAGTCCGTAATTGAATAAAGATTTATTCGAATCACAAAGAGTTAGAACGGAGTTCAATATGATTGAATTCAAAGTTCATAATAATCGATTATGAATTGGAACGAAAAGAAGAAAGCATTTTTATAGATTTTAAGTGGACTTTCTAAATGAGGATTTTCATCACCTCAATTCAGTCAGCTGCATCATTTTCAGAACCTCATTGATCTGCATACTAGTCTTATGGATTCCAATTTCGTTGGCCCATCTTTCACTTGGAGTAACAATCATGTAGGTGCTTCCCGAGTTTGGAAAAGACTTGACCGCGTTTTATTCAATCCCGATTTTCACTTAAACTTTCCCCAGCTGAATGTTTATCATTTGGAGAATGTTTAATTATCATTTGGAGAGGCTTTGTTCAATAACCAAATGAAGAAGCCTCGCTAACCTGGACCTTGAACAAGCGGGCTTCGTTCAAGGTCGTAGTATTCACACACATGCAGCCTTGGCTCAGTAATTAATGAGCAACATTCACCGACAAACAACATGAAGGAATATTTTTATTAAATTAGATATGGCTAAAGTTTACGACTAGTTGGTGGCATTTTCTTATACGAGCTATGCGCACGTTTGTTTTTCCTCACCAAGCCATAGATTTGGTGTACCGAGATATATGTAATATTTGGTATACCGTCAAAATTAACCGAGAAATAGCGGGAGGTTTTGATATTTCCGAGGCGTTCCCCAAGGCGACCCCCTTTCTCCACTATTTTTGGTCCTGGCCCAACAAATATTGACGGCAAATATTAAGAGAAGAGTTGTTGACAAGGCCATACAACTAGGGGTGGTAAATGAGCCGAGCCGGCTCGACAAAGGCTCGAACTCGAGCTCGGGTTTTTCGAGCTCGAGCTCGAGCACAAATTTAGTTGTTCGACAGCTCGCGAGCCGGCTCGCGAGCTGCCTTCTTTTATATATATATATATATATATATATATATACATACTAGATATAGAGCACCGCGCAAGGCGCGGTGCCGGTGCCCAGTCGACACATTCAACAAAGCTTTACGTATATTAGAAGTGTTATATTGTGTTCATCACATTAGAAGTGGGACATTGTACGAAAATTTGCAGAACGTAAGAATACAAAATAAAGAAAATCAACCAAAATAATAAAACAATGGGACATCGGCATAAGTAAATTATATTTCAAATTTGTGTAGTGGTGTTCTTCTCAAATGTATATGTTTGTTGTGATCCATCAAATATAATACACAGTTCAGACGTAGAACATTATTAAAAATCAGAGGAAAAGCGGCGAAATATCTACCACCAACACCTATGAACAGATTCAAGCAAAATTCTGACGGTACAGAACAACATATTTAAATCACAAGTTAAAGTCAATCAAAATGGAAAAAAAACTACAGCATAGAGAATAAAGGCTTCGTCAAGCAACAACGAAAAAGCAAAGCCCCGGCCACATGCAGTGGTATGATCCTATCCTTTACCGTCAATGCCTCAAGTAATTCGTCTAATGCTTGGAAATACTCCACCATGAATTTGTCAATAATCTCCATATAAATTCCTCCAATGAACAACAGCTTCCCAGCTTCCATTTCTTGCTTCCATTTCTTGTATTTGCATACACGATTGTCGATCGACCAATTAATTTGCAGTTTAGATATCTACTCCAATGAGCCGATATACATAGAATCAATGTACATCAACAACTATGACATACTCTGAATTTTCATAAATGCATCATAAGCAACAAAACCGGTTACGAAAGGTAAAAAACGGGTAATGGATTCGTTCTTGATAAAATTCAAGCACTGTGTAGGACCGACATTTTGAGTTTGTATATCAGCGGTTACATATGACCATATACCTACTTTATGAGAAAAAATTGCAGCACCATCCTCTTGTAATCTTGTACCAAGGTAATGTGCAACAACTTTTTGCCAAGAAGAGTTACTGCAATGATGTTCATAATCTTAGTAGGCCTGTAAGGATTGGCATTGAGGCCACGATTGCAATTGAATCTTAAAATTGATCAATATTTTACCTATTATATGTTTGCGAGATACTTCCAGCATCTACAGCCTCGCGAAGATTGTCAATTTTACCACCTTTTGTAGAGCATACAATCAAAATATAGAACAATGCATAGCCCAGAAAGTTGCTATTGGAATATTTTTCAGTCGAAATAGAAATATACGTCAAAATGTAACGTGAAGTACATCTACATGAGCGAGCAAGTATGAGTGTAAATCTACGACGTATCAATGAGTGACCAATATTTGGTCCATTTTCAAAAGCATATTCTCTTCAGTAGTTTATTGAGCTAAAACAGGTCTGCTACCTGAAAATGTGTTATAATCGAGTACCATGATACACAATAACTCTAATAACTGATAAACAAAGCCTCTGTAACATTTCAGCCTAAATTGATTAAAAATGAGAAGCTAAACATAAATCACACAATTACGTATATCAGTTACGACAACCGCAAACATACTTGTACAAATTTGATAGAAAGTTGTGAGGTCCTTGCTTGTAAGAATATGTTCTTTAAACATGTTTGCTTGTAATAATTTGCATAAATTACACAGATAAAAAGGAAGTTGCTTTGCAGTTAATACAGTAAAAATGAATGATATTATGTTTGTAAACATTTGTAAACTTGTGCACACAAGTAAGGAGCTGTAAACACAAAAATAATGCACATTTGAAATAAAATAACATACCATTGCCATAGCATATATGAAAAATATACCTAAATATGAAGCGGTGAATGATGCAGCCCCGAGAAAGAGAGTCCTGTGAATAGTGATAGAAAAAAAGGAGAAACAATAAAATAAGAGCACTGTCTGTGAGATATGAAGTGTACTAAATAAATAATGAATCTAATCAGCTTACATACTGTAGCATACCGTCGGCTAATTTAAAGATCTCGTGATAAACAATGTTTTTGGTGTAATCAACTACACGACTGCATCTTGAACCCGGATGGATTAAAACTCTCACAGCGGCAGCACATCTTGCTCGCGACAATGCGACATATAGTTGGCCGTGAGAAAATACTGGTTCTCTAAGGTATATCCCTTCAAAATCTAAAGTTTGCCCCTGAGATTTGTTGATTGTCACAAAACAGGGGCGTACAGGAATTTGCATTCTTTTGAACGGTATTGGACACTTAGACTTACCCGATCCCTCCAAAGGTATACGAGGAATAAACACAACATTACCCTTAAAATCTCTAACAGCAATTTCAGCCTTAATAAAGTTGTCGCCCAACTCTCGACAAATTAGACGTGTGCCATTACAGAGACCCTGTATTGGATTTAAGTTGCGTAGCAACATAACTGGACAATTTTTTTTCAGCTTTAAAATGTTTGGAGGGAGGCCACCAGCTGAAACAGTATTTAAATAATCCGCATATTCTCCTTACTGTAGTGGATCGGTTGTTGCGTTAAAACTAATGTACTCTTTCATTTTGCCCGCAAATCGTTCCATTAAGAGATCATTAAGCTCATCTACACAATCATTTTTCGGGGTAAGGATAGCTCTACCTACAAAGGCATCAGGGTTTTGCATGAAAGTATCTAAATTGGGGTAAACATCACGAATAAGACGATCCAAAGAGGTAGCCGCATCATCAAAAGGGACTAACATATGAGATGGAATCTTTATGTTATCGTCGAAAATAAAAGTCTCAACACCATTCCCAATTCTAAGCAATAAATCTATAAAATTGGGATCTTCTTTAGCCCGCATATTCTGGCACAGTTGCATACGATGTATGCCTCCCCACAATGCAGAGCTCACCAAACATGCGGTTATCATTGAACCTCTAGAACCATTAACCACAATTGGCAATGTTTGCCTGAAATCGCCGCCAAATAAAACAATATTTCCCCCGAAGGGTAATGGGCTGTCGCAGATATCAGCCAACAAGGCCTCAAATGCTTCAATAGAATGTCGATTAGCCATAGAGGCCTCATCCCATATAATAAGGCTGGCCTCAGATATCATTCTAGCTAAGCTACTCTGTTTACTAACCTTGCCTATGCCCACATCGTCAACATCCAAAGGCAATTTAAATCTAGAGTGGGCTGTCCGACCACCGGGCTGCAATGATGCAGCTACACCCGAACTTGCAACAGCCAATGCAATCTCACCCTTGCGGCGAACATACGCAAGCAACGCCCTATACAAAAATGTTTTGCCAGTGCCTCCTGGACCATCGACGAAAAACACACCGTGACCCCTGGAATCAAGCTGAAGCACTACTTTATCAAAAACAAACTGTTGTTCAGTATTTAGACAATCTATAGAGGCCATATCCTCCTCTGAGACAATGATGGAGCGTTCATATTTGTATTCATTGCTTGATTAGTCATCAGCACATGCATACTTACAACTAAAACGGATTGGAAAGTCAGCCAAAGATTTATCCATAGAGTTAAGTACAACATCAATTGCAGCAACAGTTTTTTCAAGCACCTGGTCGCCCGTTAATATTCCATTGGTAGCAAAGTCTTTAGACAACGGACAATAATATTTATCCCACAACACTTGCAAGTTTGTAGTTATGCCGTAAACGAGGAGCAATGCAAACAACACACGCAGACACGAAGGGGCCTGAAAGAGAGCCGCCTCTGCCAAGCAACTATCAATGTAGTCATCAGATTGTAGAAGCCCTCTTGAAACAGCTGCCTCATGAAAGGTCGCAAATGTGTGGCCATTCACAGTAAGCAAATCCTTAAAAGAAGTAGGGCAGCGGACATTCATTAACAACAGACGCTCAAAATAACGCTCACCTTCAAATGGATTAACTGTGCATAGACGACCAACCACAGCTTGTTTCTGTCGAACTTTCCATTTTTTCTTGGCTGGCTCCCACACAAAGTACTCCGGAAATTCTTTATACAAAAGCTTAAGACGTATTGCCGACTCATCACAACTATTGGAAACAAAGAATTCTGTCAGCATCGTCCTACTCGATAAGGGATCATCAAGAACATGCGCCAACGACTGTTGCACACCAAATTGCACACCAAAACGTAATGGCTGGTGATTTGGTAAATGTACAGGCATTACTATGACTGGGGGCGACATCTCGCTCATCAAGAAACCATATATTCTCCAGCATGCCTCAGGAGCGCATATCCAACGTCCATCTTGGTAGTCCTGTATTTCATCACAAATATCCAGCGATGCATTCAGAACAACATTGTATGCAATTTTATCATGCCCCTTGTGAATATATTTATACAAGTACTTAACCAATTTTGCATCAGCGCATATGTCAACATTAATATGACAATCAAATTTCGATAGTAGAAAGGGACAGTAGGGCACGACGAATCTATTATCAAGAAGCACATTTCGGACAAGAACTCTTTGTCCATCATCCCTTCTTCTGTACGCAGCATATCCATTCTTACCAGCCGTTGTTTGGTCCGAAAATTCTTTAGGGAAATGATTTTTGCAGTGACCATCGCGCATGCACACATTCTTAGGATTTGCATCACCACAAGGTCCATGCATCATATGTTTAATCACACATTCACGCAAAAAAAGATTTGAACCAATAGGGATCTCAGCCGAAATGAGTTGGTCATAGACCGCCGGAGACTTTATTTTATGATGATCAGCCAAAATAATAACCCAGTGACAGTGGGGAAGCCCTCGTTTCTGAGACTCAACTGCATATACGTATGCTGCAACCTCACCGAAAATTTTGTTTTTAATAATATCATGCTTTAGTTCCTGGAGCTTTGACTGGAAAACACGAGCAACAAGATCTGGTCTGTCAGCTGGTTTTTGTCCAGGCAACAACATAGAAGTTATTTCTTTCCACGCCGGGTTGCATGTCATAGTTATGAACAGATAAGGTTTGCCAAATTTTTGAACAACAGCCATGGCATTAACGTATCGCCTCCGCATATTTCTTGGACCACCAATAAAAGAAGACGGGAGCAGAATTTTCTGTCCTACACCTGATGCGGCAATTTCACCATGAATGTGGAGACTATCAATAATACCCTGAAATGATTCAGTTCGTGTTTCTCTTTGAACTTGCTCTGATCTATAGTAATCCAACCTCTGTGTCTCAACTTTAATGTACATATCAATTATATATTGTTGAGTCAGTCGACCTGCGTGCAACAAATACGACCAATCACCATCCCTCATTTGCGCCTTGTAACAATAATATTGTCGGCATGAAACATTCGAGCGATTTCGCCTATTTTGTTGAAGCACTGGAAAAAAAGATAAGAGAATACAATTACAGGGGAATGAGAATAAAAAAAATCGACAAAACCCACAAAAAGAAAAAAAACCAACCATCATTTTCAATCCGCAACAACTGCTCTGCAGATTGTACAACAGATGCATCAACTATGTCTTGGCCGCTACAAGAACCAACACTCCCTTTCAGTCTCAATCTATGCGATGGCACCCAATTCATGCATGCCAACCGGGCTCCCCGCGAGTAAACAGAAGAGGGTATTGCAACGTATCGTAGCAACCATAATAGTAGCTTATTATACGACTCGCACCAGATTTGGTAAATACACGTATATCACGTTCCAACCCTGTACCACTCCCGTCGTCGTCCTTCCAAACAACAACAACTTGATCAACCGTAGGAAGATTGTAAGTCCTCTGGTCTAAAACGGAGTCAGATCTGAGAACTATATAGGCATCTGAGAGGTTTTCCCAAGTACTCAACCGCTTGAAGAACACGGCATATGGATTAACAGAAAGAGCATCTATAAGAAGCGACATTATGTCACGATGAAATTCCTTCTTTTCAAGCATCTCGTTAGATAAATCATCCACAGTGTCCAGGAAGAAAAGTTGTAGCATTTTAGAAAGATCTGCGGAACCTTTAACAGTATTAAGAAAATGTGAAACCTGGCCCACAACTTTTAATGCATAGATACCGTCCCTTGCCCACCAGGAGTTTACGTCGATAGTCATACCAATTGAAAAGTACGTCTGTTCTCCACAGCTCACACAGAACGTCTACATTGCAGATTTTTTGTTTCTCTCTACACTAACAACACTCTCTCTCTCTCTCTATCTCACTTAAACACACACACTCTCTCTCTCAATTAAACACACACAATCTCTCTCTCTCTCTCTCTCTCTCCTCTCTTAGCTTACTCGTTAGAAACCATTAGAGACTTTGAAGATATTTCTACTGTCTACGTACCCCAATCACTTTACTTGAGCTGAGAGCAGAGCAAGCAAAGGTGCTGTAGGGAACTACGAAGATAGAGCACAACGCTCAGAAAGCGCTAGCGTGAGAACTCTCGTTGATGGACAAGACTGAGCTATGGAGATATGTCGCTCGTCAACGTCCGTTGACGATCCGGTCGTCCATCTCGGATTCACGTAAACTTGTTAGGTATAATTAATCGTTGCTTTTCCTCAGTGAGTTTATAATGGCTATATATATCTCCGATCGATCGATCTTATTCTGGTTATGTTTTGTGGCAGGTTATTCATCCTACGGCCGGTCTTTGTATTTTGTGATTCACATTTAGGCAACAGGTAATCTTAGCTTCCTTCCATTCTAATTTATTTATTTATTTAATTTTTTTTGTTGTACGGTCATATATTTTTCTCTGTATCTTCTTCTTCCATTTTTCTCCTCCTCCTCCTCCTCCTTCTTCTTCTTCTTCTTCTTCTTCTTCTTCTTCTTCTTCTTCTTCTTCTTCTTCTTCTTCTTGGTTTTGCGTAACTATTTATCAAAACAGGTATAATGTTTTCTTTATTTTCTTTATTCTTCCATTTTACCCTTTTTTCTTTTAGGGTTTCGATAATTACCTTTTCTTGTTTGATTAATGCTCTAATTTGTGTTTTATACGTTTTTATTACTTTTATATTTTACTCTATTCATGTGCTAAATTACATTTTCCTGTTTGATTCATCGGCTATTTTTTTTTTTTAATTTTCTTACATTTTATGTTTTGCAGAAATTTCTGGGCTACACATATCTCTAAAAATTAATTAATCTTTGTGTTGAGGTAATTTTTCTTAATTCTAATTTGCCCCGTTTTCATTCTTCTCTTTCTTAATGGGCTACATTTCTCCAGTTTGGACCGAAATTACAAGCCAAAAAAGTAGCTTACATTTCTCCAGTTTGGTCCAAAATTACAAGCCCAAAAAGTAGCTAACATTTCTCCAATTTGTTCCAAAAGTACAAGCCCAAAAAGTAGCTTACATTTCTCCAATTTGGTCCAAAAGTACAAGCCAAAAAACTAGATTAAATTTCTCCAATTTGGTCCAAAATTACAAGCCCAAAAAGTAGATTACATTTAAGTTAGGGTTAAATACAGTTTGCACCCCTAAAGTATACCCTCTGTAACACTTACCCCTTAAAGTATCATTTGTAATAGTTACCTCCTCAAGAACAATTTAATTTGTATTTTAAATTTTGAAACCTTAAAAAAGTTATTTTATTAAAAGGAATAACTAAAAGAATAATTAAATTATACAACTAAAAATATCTATTGAAAAATACCATATTTTAAAATTTAAAAATATTATCTTGCGTTGGATACTTATTCAATAAATAACATCTAATTGTTGTTAGACCAATTAATCAAAAATACTCTATCGATAAGAAATCAACACATAACTAATAGAAATCTTAAGTATTTAAATTTATTTCAGTTCATTAATTTTTTTAAATATATTTTTATTCATTATTACCCAATATATATTACTTTTTATTTTTTTTTCAATAATTAATTTTAGTTACTTTTCAATTTTCTATGAACCATTAATTATTAGATTGTTATATTTATTATTTTTTAAATTTTAAAATAGAAATAAAATTATGCTTGAGGGGGTAAGTGTTACAAATGATACTTTAAGGGGATAAGTATTACATGAGCTATACTTCAAGGGTGAAAAGTATATTTAGCCCTTTAAGTTACTACACTTTTCAGAATCGATCAGCATCTTTCGTGTTTATTTCAATAATATAAGAAATACGTGTGATGGATATGGATTATGAGTAATTTATTTTTTGATTGCAATGTCTGTTGTAATATGCATACGTGAACAGTTTTTGTTTTTTTCTTCAGGTTGTTATATCATTATGCAGGATATTCTCGAAGATTTTGTGGGTTACACGCTGCGTCCGTCAGCTGCCATGTTACGAATTCGCCACCAAAAAGGATACAGTACGTGCCAAATACTATATATATATAAATATAAATATATATATATATATATATATATATATATATATATATATATATATATATATATATATATATATATATATATATATATATATATATATATATATATATATATATATATATATATATATATATATATATATATATATATATATATATATATATATATATATATATATATATATATATATATATATATATATATGTTGGGTTTCGGGCACGTGTACGCAGCGGAAAACAAAAATTTTATGCGAATTAAACGAGTTTAAAGCACATAAACACATGCCCGATAATATAAATACATTAACTGCGTACCTTTGCGCTTCCAGCGAAATTAAAAACAACATACATGTTAAAATGTTTAACTGAATTTAAACCAATTAACATGCTCGCGTTTAAACCAACTAACATGCTCGCAACGATTAAAACGATTACACATAATCACATAAAATAATTCGAAAGCAAACATGAATATTTAGTTTAAACGTAAACGAATCGAAACATGAGATTCGTGTGTTTACCTCTTGAAGCGTGAGGTAGGAGCGCTAAGCAAGTCGAGATTGCTACGGAAACCAATCCCTACAATCCGGGGCAGCAGCGGTGCAGCGGCAGCAGCGGCGAGACGGCCACGGCGGCGCGTGTATCTCACGCGCGGTCTTCGGGTGGCGCGTGGGATCGCGTGCGGCTTCAGCTCGTGTGTTGCTCCTTGGTTCTTCGATCTTCGATCTTCCTCCTCTCGGATTTCACCTCGTCCACTTCGATCTACTAAACACGTGGCACTAGACACGTAATAGTTAGAAAAACGGAAGAAAAAGAGAAGGAAAGAAACTACCAAAGCAATCAGCCAATGAACGGCCGATTCCGGCGAGGTTCCGGCGACGGCGCCGGTGATGGCCGCGGGAGAGAGGCCGAGAGAAAGAGAGGTGAGCGGCTAGGGTTTTTGATTAGGTCTTGTGTGTGTTTGCAAGGCCTATAAATCAAGTATTTATAGTCCATTGCATAAAACCCTAACGGGCTTAAGTTGGACCGGGCCCAACAGCTTAAGCTCGTTAGTTCCTTTTACTTGCTCGTCTCTCTCAATTCAATGATCGGAAAATTGCAACGATTACAATTTCGGAATCATTATAATATCCTCGTCATTACGAGTGCCAACTCTCAATTTCCAACTTTCCAAAAGTGGAAACCCTAGTTCAGTGCACTTTCTAAATTTTGAAACTTCCCGATTTAGAAAGTTCACTAATACGTTCGCCTATTCGTTTCCTTTTCTTATTCTCATTCATAATTCCAAATTACGAATGTTGGATCCAATCATATTGACTTCCAATCATGCAAAGATAAACTATTTTATCTCTGACCGTTTATTCAAAGATCTCATGTGCACGAGCAGTGTGCCCTCGATGGTTCAGGTGTAAGCTAGCCGTGGCCCCATAACCCTTTGTGGTCAAAACTCGTCCCTTAGAGTTACGATTAAGATGAAGCTCGTTTCACCTTAATCACCCAACGAATCAAGATTGGCGTCTAGCAACTACGCGTCATGATTCCCTAGATATAAATGAAGTGCCTGCAAGAACCTTCAGATATAGTTAACGTACAGTACGGTCCCTTCGATACATATGTCCCGATTGAACTAGAGGCATTGGTTCATCGAGACCTCTTTACATGTTCGATGACGGTGCGATCGTTCCAAGTGTTTTAATCGTCACGTGCATGACTTAGAGAATCGATTTCTCTAATCATCACTTTGTCAGCTCTGGCCAGAGACTTAGAATGATTACAAACTTTCAGAACACACAGGACATCCAAGACTATTCTAGCGATCGAATCCCCGACTACAATGCACAGACCTCCCACTAGATTTCGGACTGCACGAACACTGGCCCTTGGGATGGTCCTCGGTGGAACTCAGGGACAGGTCACGATACAGCTGGTCCTCTAGTGAAGTCACGGTGATGTCTAGGTCATAAGGACTAA